TTGCGGAAGCACATCAATCTGTGCACTTAGAAAGGGTATCATTCATGGTGTATAAATTATGTCTCAATACATTTGGCTAGGGGATGAAACAAAGAAACTTTACACTATACATAAAAGCTAATGTTATGACATTTCTATGAGTAAACTTAAAAGGAATATTGAGAAAATAGAAATTCAAGTTGCAGTGAGGAGAAAATAGTCACAATACATATATCTTATAACAGCACTAACCAGTCTAAGTGAGTGCTTACTAGAATTTCATAATTAATAGTAGTTATTAAGGTAGGCAGAAAATTAGAATGATTTCCTAAAAAGGCATATAAATAGCCAATAAGTACATGAAAACCTATGTTCAATATAATTAGATATCTTGCTAATACAAAATAAAACTGTATGAGATGCCCACAAGAGGCTTTTACAAAATATGTTTGTGACAGGATTATTCCTAATAGTCAGTAATTGAAAGCAAATCAAATGCCTAACAACAGGTAAATAATTTTTTTTTTAATTTGTATACTTACATAGGGAATTCTACACAACATGAAGAATAAACTTCTGAGATATGTGTGGGTGTTTATGAATATACTGGATTTTATTTACGTAAATTATTTCTTCCTCTTAAAATAACACAAAGGAAATAATGAATGTATAAAAGACATTGATACCCACACGATCTTTGTTTTAATTGAATAAGCAGATATAGTCAAGGAACTCAAATTTATGATATTAAAAATTGAGAAATCATAGAGACAGAACAACCTCTAATGGGGGCTCTAATATCAAGAGAGCAACAAGAATTAAAAAAACAACCACCAATGATTATTAATTTAAGATCACTTGGCCAGTATGAGAACATCAGTCACAAAAAGAAAGGTTTACAGAAACCAAGTAACAGTTAAAATTCTCTATGACAACACAAGAGGGAGCTCTAAAGTTACAAAACCAGGGACATAATGGTAGACCAGCTGCCTCTTCTAGGCATTGCAGAATTGGTCTCATATAAATAAAATTCAGAAGAAAAAGCAAGTTCTATCTGATTCAGTAATTATAAGACATGAATAATTGGAAGAACATTTATATTATACATAATTGTGTTTATGCAGTAACAGCCAAAAAAAAAGGATAAAATAATTCTAAAGAATGCATTGTTATTCTACTGTTACAGAGTTTGAAACTGCAAAAATACTAATGCATGATATTAGAAGCCACAAGAACTGTTTCTGGAAACAAGAGTGAGTCATGAGAGGTTGAGAGTTTATAATATTCTGGATTTGACCTACTTAAGTTCACTTTGTGACAATTTGTAATGTGTCAATTATGACCTTGCACGTTTTTTGTCATTATGTTATGTTTTCATAAAAGTGAACATAATATGCTGACCTTATTTCATAGATTAGATATACTTATTTGAAAATAGTAATTGTGCTTTTTTTTACTCTGTATTTCTTCACTGAGAGTTTATTGTTCTGATGTACTGATGTGTGTTTCATGTATAAGACTTCTTCAACTGTCTGGCAATCCTTAAATGTCCAAATATATTCCAGAATGTGGCACCAAAAGGCTTCTTAGAATTTCTCTGTGCATGTCATCTTTGTGGATTGGTAGCCTAACTGAGGAGAATCACACAGAACAATGTGAACTGTTTTTGCTAAGGAAACCACAATTTCCAGTCACTTTCTCATTATAAAACTTCCCAATCCCCAACAGAAGTTTTCAAGACTGATGTTCAGTCTTCTGGGGCATGGGACAGAGGGTGGTGATACCTCCTGTGTAGATTCTCACACTCATTCCTCTGCTGTAAGCACGGCTCCTCATACTTGTATCAGTTCTGCCTGGTGTCTCCAGTCCAGTCACTTCTCGTGGACTTTTTTTTTTTTTTTTTTTACCGAGATCACTATAAACTAGTTTTTAAGCTTGGAGGTTTGGTGGTGTTAGTTTGGTTGGTTATAACTTTTATGGGTTGAATTCAAATAGATTGTTGCCAAGTCATGGACTTCTTATACAAGAAACTCTCCAATCTTACCCCGAGATACAAACCAATACTTCTCAGCTGCGCCTCTGCAGTCCTGTGCCAATCCCATGAGCTCTGGGGTTTTGATGTGTGATCAGATAGGTATAGAAGTTATATACAAAGACCAAGCAACTTTTACAAAATTTGAGTTTACAGAGACATCCAATCAGTGGGCATATCTCCTGGAACAGATAATAAAACCATTCCGATGTTTTCATTCCATTTTTCTAATAATTCATTTGTATAATATTTCACTGCAGTATTGGTTTGTGATGAATGGAAGAGAAAAACTCATGGAGGCTTCACAGCCAATGATATGCGATGGGCTGTCTCCATTAAGACATCACACCAGTCTTGGTCTGCTCAGCACCATCTGAGCAGTGGGGCTGCAAGGATAATGCCCAGAGACAGTGCTGTGTTGAGAGTGGCTTTGCTTTGTTGCTTTCCCTGCCTTGTGTGAGTGGATTTTCTGTTTTCTCTCTTTGCTCTTTGAACTTTCCTTTTTGCTTCCATCATTGTTTTTCTATCTTCTGTGTGCTTCTGTATTTTCAGTCCTTCTCCCTGCTTTCATTTTAGCTGATTTGGATTGATTATAGAATATATGTGTTCCATCCCAAAAGGGTTACTTAGCATTTTAAGAGTCCTTAACAAAATTCATAAGTTCATACTGCTGAAAACATAAAGAAAAGCTAATAACACAAGTGCAGTGATGCATTTTAATTCAGCATAATGAAACCATGCCAAGTCACAGACACACAAAACAAAGATGTCACTTACTGGATAATGTGATTACAACTCAATGAATTGAACAGTTCATTTATTGCGTGTAAGTTATACTTAAGTAAAATTTAAATATGGTATTTGCAAATATAAAAATAAGTAAATAAAAAAATATCATTATATCTCTAAGATGCATACTAAAAATGTAATCTAAATCAAAGCACTTTTCCAGAAAAAATTTGGAAAAAAGAATGATTAAAATAAATTCCAATAAATTCCAAAATGAAAAGTACGCCAATCTCTCAGTAACACATTTTAAAAACTCAAATAAATAATGTAAATCATTTAAATACAAGCAAGGACTTGGCTGTAATAAATAAGCTCCACTCTTTAAAATATCTGTAAAATGAACAATTATAAACCTGTTAGGCACAAAAATAAAAGAACAAAACAAAATAATAGATGACCAATACTACACAAGAACATATACTACCTTACATGTTTTATTTGGCTAAAAAGAGTGAAAATAATGTAAAAATAATCCAGACATATTTAAATATAAGGCAAAATTACGAATAGAGGTAATATATTTAAAATCTAAGAGAACATTCTTTACGGTCTCGTAAAAACCTTTAAAAACCTCAGTAAAATTAAGGGAGAATATCATTCCTTTTTACCCTGGAAAATACAACATGAACTATTATTTCAAGCATTATACTTTAAAAAGATTGGTGATCAGTCCCTCCCTGGTGGCGCAGCGGGTTACAGCACAGCACTAAGAAGCTGAAGCCACTTCCGCATGAGTTCGATCCCCGCCTGCCCCGGAGGTGATCCACATGGCACAGCAGACCTCTCCTGACCCGCCCGCTGCTCCCCTCAGCAATGTGCTTCGTCAATCTGCCTGTTCTGCTCCCCACTCTGTCTCTGGTGAAGCCTCTCACCCTCCGCATCTCTGGCCTGTACCCCAGTTCTGTATGAATAAATAAATAAATCTTTAAAAAAAAAAATAAAAAAGATTGGCGATCAGAGGGAGCTAGTGGAAACAGAAGGTGACGGAGTCTGCAGTTGGTCACGCTGACTTATGGAAAGGCTCACATTATTGTCATAACTATGTCAAACATCTGTGACCCAAGACTAACTGACTGCAACAAGTCACAGAAGAATGAAAATCACAGGCAACTATCAGCTAAAATGAGGGGAAACTATGAGAGCTGAAAATACAAAAAATGCACTGGCAGTGCCCTGCCAGTGCGATGGTCCGCCTGGGTGACCCCGAAGTCTCTTTCTCTAGTGTTATATAGTCTAATGACGAATTTGAAATAGGGTAGCTTCCTTTCTTAATGCACTCAGTGTGAAATACCAAGCAACATCATCTTCAGCTCAGGTGGGACTGGATGAATGGTTATTCTTTTGCATTCATTTTTGTAGCATTTCTTTCATGTACATATGATGTCATTCAAATGAATGGCCAGAAAAAGCATGCAAGCTCTCCTGCCCACCTGTGACTATGCAGGAGCCTTTCTCTTTCTCCTTTTCCTTATAGACCTGTAAAATGTAAAAAAACTAAAAGGCATCCATAAATGTCATGTTTGGAAATCTGAAAGATTCTTGTAGAGGTATGCAACATCTTAATGATTAAGAATCAGACTCTGCAGTTTTACATTTTACAAGTGATTTCTTTTGTATTCTCCACTATGTGTGGGGAAAAAAATAACTTGAGATATACAAAAGGGAAATTATATTTACCATGTTTTTCAGATTTTAAAATTGAAATTCTGAGAGCAACTGTAGCTTTCTTGCAGTTAAGACTAAGCCAGTGTCAAGCTTAAATTCACTTATTACTGGCACACTATCCTTTTTCCCATATGTCACCCTCCTAGATCTAACATTCATTTAGATCCAAGCAGCTGAGCTAGACATAAGCTTACATAAAGAATGCAATCAGAGATTTGGGGTAAACAAGCCAAACACCAGATAAGAGATAAGGGTCATTAAGACCTTTAAGACTTTTTGAAAATTCTAAATTAAGAAGAGGAGGAGGGTTAACTTTTATTAACAGAGTATTTGCCCTCTCCTTTAATCTTGACAAGATATGAACACATTGCTGTGCCAGCTTTACATGTAAGAAAGCATGTAAGTCCTTATAGTGTGAAACCCCATCCAAGGTCACATCCAAGCTGAACAGCAAATGAACAAGAAACTTTTATGACATAAACAATCAGGGGCACACTTGGACCACATGTGTGTACACTGTTGGAAAATGTTTTGATTATAGAATCTTAGGAGAAATCCCTGTCTTCTCAATCATTTTCCGAATAGCCACCTGAACATCTTTATTCCTGAGGCTGTATACCATGGGGTTCAACAGTGGGGTGATGACAGTGTAGGTCACTGTTACCAGCCTGTCTTTGCCTGATGAATATTTGGTTGAAGGTCTCAGGTAGACAAAAGAAGCACAGCCATAGTGGACAATGACGACAATGAGATGGGAGGCGCAGGTGGAGAAGGCTTTACGCTTGCCTTCAGTTGATGGAATCTTCAGGATAGTCCGGACAATAAAACCGTAAGAGACGCAAACGAAGATCCAGGGTATAACAAGCACTAAGACGCCACAGATGAAGATGATCAGTTCATTGATGTAGGTATCAGCACAGGCAAGACGGATGACGGGTGAGATGTCACAGAAGTAGTGGTTGACTTTGTTGGAGCCACAGAATGGAAGACTAAAGACCAAAGTCGTTCCCACAAGAGAAATTAGGAAGCCACTGACAATGCAACTTGCTGCCAGGAGCCCACATACCCTCCAGTTCATGAGAATGGGGTAGTGCAAAGGCTGGCAGATGGCAGCATAGCGATCATAACCCATTACCCCCAGGAGCAGGCAGTTGGTAACAGCAAAACCAAGGAAGAAGAACATCTGAGTGGCACAAGAGATGAAGGAGAGTGTCCTGAGGACAGAAAGCAGATTGATGAGCATCTTGGGCAGGATGACAATTGTGTAGAAGGTCTCAGAGGTAGAGAGGACACACAGAAAGAAATACATGGGTGTGTGGAGACTGCGGTCTAAGCGGATGACTGAAATGATAGTGACGTTTCCACTCAGGATTATCAAATAGAGGCAAAGAAAGATCACAAAGAGGACAAGCTGCAATTCTCCAAGACTGGAGAACCCCAGAAGTATGAACTCAGTAACAGAAGAGGAATTGGCCATGGAGAGTTGGTAGCACAGAATAAAATCAATGTGATCAGATCCCAGGACCTGTGGAATCGAGAAATCAGAAACTCACTCTTCAGTCTCGTTTGACTGAGTCTGGTTTAACTGATAAATAGCAGGCATAGAAGAAAAAGGATTGCAAATTAACCAAAAGCTATCCTAAGATAATATGTTTGAATAGTGCTGTACTTCTGCCAATGATTCAAGCAGTGAATTAGAGAACAAGCATTCACATGAAGTATAGACATTTGTTCAAATAAGGTCTGTTTTCCAGAACCCTTCTTGCAGACTTACCTAAATTTTGCTTAATTTTTAGATGGACTAGCCCTCAAAAAAAAAAAATCTCTTAACTACATTAATTGTGACTAAGTGATTGTAATTTTATTGATATATATATTCAGTAAACAAATGCACTGATTTCTGAGGTTCCATCCCTCATCTTCATTTGATGTCTTCCTCACGTTGGCAAGCTCCATCCATCTGTATTTGCATCACTCGCCTTTAAGAAACACAGTTCCCTTTTGTTCCTACTCACACATCTCCTTTCCACACAGTCATTCATCAAAAATAATTTGGTTTACAGCTGCTTCTGCTGTCTTAGAAATAGTTTAATGATCCCCCAGCAACTTTTACAGGACACCAGGCCTGATTTCCCTTGTAGAAAACTCACATCTAGAACAGTTGCATTTTTGCTTTAGCACCCACCCACTTGGTTACATATCTCACCCTGGGTATTTACCCTAGGGCCTCTGCCTCAGCTATTATCACTGACACTAGATTTTAAATATATATATACACACACACACACACACACACACACATACATACATGCATATATATACATATATACATATACATTATCACTGACACTAGATTATATACATACATACATGTATATATGTATATACACATATACATACACATACATACATGCATGCATGTATGTATGTGTATGTGTATGTGTATGTGTATGTGTGTATATATATAATCTAGTGTCAGTGATAATAGCTGAGGCATATATGTATATGTCCATACATACATACATACATACATACATACATGCGTGTATGTATATGCATATATGTGTGTGGACATATACATACACACACACACACACATATATATACATTCATCAAAAAATTCTTATCCCCTCCTATTTCCAAAGGTGTTCATTCACCTGGGTTCTCTACCTCAATAAAAAGGGTGAATACCTTAGTCATCCAAGCTATAAATTTCTGAAACATGTCTAAGCACATGATTTCTCACATCCTCCACATCAAATCTAGTTTTTTGTTGTTGTTCTGCATTGCTTCTAGGATATATTACCAGATCTCTGGATCTTTCTGCTTTAGGACATCCCCCACAATAGCAGCAATCTTGTCTTTCTATGGGACAAATCCTATCCTATTAGCAAAATTAAATGACCCTCAATTATCTATTAAGTTAAAACAATTATGGTCTAAGTTGTTCATTGTTTCCCCATTCATAACTGCCACTAATATGTTCCTTCACATACATGTTAGTATTAAAAAACTGGGGGAAATCACATCATTTTTCATACTGCCTCCTAAATCTGAGTACTCTGCTTCATGCTTGTGATTGTTTACATCTTTTACTTTTTGACCTTCTTTAAATTCTCAGATGAAATAACATGTATTCATTCATTAACTCCTTTGTACAACTTACTGGATGTGATTTTCACTTTGTCTGGATTTTCTTATCAGTCATTAGAACCCATACGTGCTTTGCTACTACTATCATGAATCTGACTTTGACTCTAAAAATCACAGTTTATGAGATGCAACAACTCACATGCATAAATGACCAAACACCACAGTTTCTCTTATAAGTAATTTAAACCCCCAGGTATAAGTTTTCCAAACTTGTTCCCTTAATATTAGTTTAGAATATAATGTTAAACTGTGCTGCAATGTTTGGGGAGGATAAAAACCTTTTAACATTATTGTTAAATACAGAGGTTAAAGAAACTATCTTATCTTTTATGATTACCAAGTGATTTCCTACAGAATGTTTTTGCTGAATTTTTTTTTTAATTTTAAAAGTATTTCACTCTTGGACTTGAAATCCTTTACAAATAAAAAAATCTGTTATTATTTTCTCTTTTGCTTAGACAAAGGTTTAGCAAAATATTCAACTAGGACTAGAATCAAGGACTTTAACTCTAGTTTTGATATCTTTGAATTGAAATATATATGAATCAATATATATTTATAAGATGCATAATATATACTCTATATATTGTACATATATATCCTATAGTCCTTTCTGTCATTTGATCTTAATCACTCTTTTCCACTAATGATAACTGGCTTTCCTTATTAGTGATTTCTTTTGTAATTAGTTTATATGTTTGCTGTTGACTCAACAAATTACAATTTATCAAAGACCAGAAACTGCATTACCAAGAATGAAGGATCAATGATTCCAGTGTACATCTGAAATTATTTCAAAACACTAGGTGGATGGCATTTGATTTCAGAGGTTTTCCAAACTGTTTTCTAGAGTAAAAACATATCACTAGCTCATGGAAAAAATCCAACCATTTCTAAATTTGACCTACAAATAAATGACTGTTTTATCACTGCTCCTCTTAGTAAAGAATTGCAGTCCTGAATCAAAATAAAAGTTTTCCATTGCTTCAAATCAGAGTTCCAGTACTCAGTGCCTTACAGGTATCTTCATTCTAGATACTTACTATAACCATCTGTGAGAGTTTCTAGGTGAAATTTGCCAACATTATCTTTCCTGTTGTAATGCCCCAAGGCTCCTTTTCCATCTTCCATGAACTCTCTGGACCAGTGTAAGAAAGCTATCTACATAACTCCACAGAAAACATCACCTATGCCTTTTCTCCATGGACAACTTAGTTACTGCGTCAACAAGTCTTATCCATGGCCTTTCCTTTTCACATAAGCATGGTCTCGATGCCATGGTTGATAACTGAGATTCTTCACCTCCATGGGGAGCTAATTACAACATTATGCCCAATACTTGTCCATAATTTCCCCAATTAACAAGCAGAACAATAGAAATGCACTGTGAGAATTCTTTGACCAAAGAGAAGGCCCTTTCTATTTTTTTATTTACTTTCTATATTTTTATTTACAAATAAAAAAATCTGTTTAGTTTCCTCCAAGAAATTCTCTAGGAATTTATTAGAGAAATGAAGGTTTTTCTGGACACTATTTGTTAAAACCAACATGGAACTATTATATTACCTCGTTACTCTAAATTTTTATTGTCGGAGTGGAGGGAAAAATCCATTTCACATTCTCATTTCTAAAGCTAGAAGAGGAGAAGAAAGGAGCAAAGGACAGAGGACAGAATGTTAGAATGACAGGGGCAGCACAAGACACATGTTTGTTTCTGGAGTATAAAGTGAACATGATGAATATCTGCTCAATAAATAAGAGAAAATTTGGGTTGTGTCATAAAATGTGATAGTGCTCTGTTTACATTTTGATGCTGATTTCTCCTTTATTAGACCTTTCACCTTATTTCAGATTGCACGTTTATCTTTGTTCTCTCTCCTGGTGAGTGCAAATGCTTGGGCTAGACATAGCCAAATGTCATGGAGTCATGGAGGACACAGGGACTCGTGTGAGCTGTTCTCACATGAGTTATGTCAAGATGCCACAGGGGTGTAGCAGTAGGAGAAAAATCCCTAATTATTAAGTAAGAACTTGCTGAATAAGACCTGATATCTTCTCTTGCCTGCTGTTTTGCCAGAGATTACATGGCTACATCTTCAGGAAATGCTTTGCTGAGGTTTATTCACATATTTTATCTTTCCTTAGAATGCAGAAGATTAAATAAAGCCACATTTTTTTTTCTTCTCACCTAAAGAAATGGTCTATTGCCTTATCCCCCTGAATTTATAGGTTGAGTAACTGCTAAGACAAACAAGTTGTAGCAATAGTGGTGCAGTTTATGATCTGTTTATAAACATGGTCTTTAGAGTCTGGAATCTCTGTCCTGCCTCCTGAAACATCCACATTTTTTTTCCTGAGCCACCATGTTTTGTGGAAGTCCAAGCAACCCTTGGAGAATCTAGGTGGTGAGAATGCATAGTCAATGACCCCAGTTAACATGATATGACCAGTCACACAAGTGAGAAATTTTGGAAATGGATTCATCAGCCCTAGTGTGTTACCCAAATTGATCTCACAAAGAGCAGATCAAACTATATCCAAGAACCTCTGACAAAATTATGGATGTGTGCGCAAAATAAATAACTGTTGTTACTTTAGTAACCAATGTCCTGAGTTGTTTATTATGACAAATATATAGGTATATAGATATATTTATACACATGTATATAATTAGAATGGAATGGCTTGTCTAAAGGCAGGGAACTAAACTTAAAACCTATGGCACTAATTTTATTTTTCAATATATTTTTAATGAATTAACATTATTTCATATCCTTGCTCATTTCTTCCACAATAAAGGATTTCTTCCTTCAAATGTGGTCACCATAGTTGTCCCACCACAAAACCTGTAATTCTCCCCCACAGACCATTATGCTCATCTCCTCCTTTTTTTCTACACTCCTCTCCTCACTCCCTCCTCCTCTCCCCTCCTGATGTTTCAGATCTATAGTCAACTTTCAAGGGCTGTTTTTTTAAAGTTTCTCTTTATCTGAGTCTGTTTGGTTTGTCTATATATCATATATAAGTGATATCAGTCAGTATTTCTCTTTCTCTTTCTGGCTTGTCTCACTTAAGATAATCCCTCCAGTTCCATCCACATTGCCATAAATGGCGTGATTTTCTCTTTTTGGAGCTGAGTAGAATTCCACCGGGTATACCACATCTTTTTGACCCTCTCATTTGCCCACAACACTAATTTTAGAAATGGTGGTAAGAGAATGTGTAGACTTCAGTAGTCTGTTATAATGCTGATAAGTATTTGAAAGATAGAGAAAGCAAAAAAAAAAATACAATTTGAGATAAAAATGGAAAAATGATGTTGTA